CCCTCCCCGGGCCTGGCTCCAGGGCGGGGCCCCGGTAACCCTATCCCGGGCAGGGTAAACTGTTCCCTCGCTGTCCTTTTCATAAGAACAGCAAGGGAACAGGGAACAGTTCACACACATACAGTGAAAAGTCTCTTTTTTTTGGGAGCTCAACCCTTTTTCGCCTGATAATGAACTAATTATGTGATTCAGGTGTTGACCCAGGGTGAGCTCTAAAACCTGCAGGACACCGGCTTTCGAGGCCTGGAGTTCGACACCCCTGATTAATTTAAGCACTGTTACTGCGTTCAGGTTTCTGTTTTCACTGATGTGAGTGACCTTCTGTGTTTTTTCTGTCAGATCACCAAAATTATTTTGGCATTGATGAGAACTTTGGTCCGGTGTCTCTGAGCCTCCTGCGAGAGAAACTGGAGGAGAGGAGTGATGAGACACAGTACAACTACAGGATGATCCTCAGGACTGGTCAGGTAACTAGTCACGTGACCGGTTAGGCAACCTGACCTGATCACAGTCTGGTTTGAGATCATTTTCGATTACTAATTTATAAAGTGACTGTTGGTGATGCTGTTAATCCCTGTTTGTCCTTTTAGTCTGATCCAATCACGCCCCCTCTTTCAGCTGTCTACCCTGAGAGGATCCATCACAGAGGACTCTATCCCATCTTCATCCAAACACGGGACCAGTCGATGTCTTCCTCTGAAGGATGTTCTCGAGTTTGTGGTTCCTCAACTTAGCATCCACAGTCTCAGACTGGCTGCAGATTCACCCAGAGTCCCTGAACTGCTGCTGCAGCTGGACCAGCAGGAGGTGAGCCAGTCCCAGTGTGCCACCCACCAGCTGACCATGAAATACCTGCCACTGCCATGGTTGGCCTTCCCATGTTTCTGACAGGATGGTCTGTGTTAAACTAGAATCCCGTTTCATAGCCATTTTGCTAAATCGGGCTTTTGATGCTGTGACGCTTTCACATAATGAAACAGTTGGCATAAGAATTCAGCTTCTCGTGCTACGTCCACCATGCTGATCAATGCTGAGTAGCGTATTCTTCAAAAACACCCAAACACACATCCTCAGAGAGGTTTTCACAGGCAGCAGCTACGAGTTCTCTGAAAGAAATGATTCACTATTATCTCATCCTTCTAGAGCTTTAGAAATCCTAATAAAGCTTCTGTGATTCTGTCCAGTTTAGAGACAAACTCAGACTTGATGGTATTAGCTGGAACAAGTAAGATGTACCTTTTTAATCAGCTACAGTTTTTGTCACGTTTTCCTTACTTTTTGGTGGCCCTCCCAGAGGTCAGTACAAAATAAAGAAAACCTTCTTGTTGTGCTCTCTCAGAAGTTTAGCAAAGTGATACAAAGCAGTTTTTTAAGTGGCCACTGGAAGCCTGAGCAGAAGAAGAGAGGTCTCTTTAAGCTCCAGTCAGACTGAAATCCCAGGAGACGACACAGACAGACATCAGCCTGAGAACACAGCAGGAAGATGATAAGGTTACTATCGCATTAATATAAGATATCAACATGAGCGGCAGGAGGGTGCTCCTTCCTTCAGGTGTCACAGGTAAGAGACTAGGTAAAACACTGTGATAGGCTCATCTTTTTGTCCAGGTGTCCTAAAACGTCCACTGCAAGAGGGAGAAGTCAGCTGACCTTCCGATGTTGTGTGAAATGACCAAAGGTCTCCTGACACAGCATCATCAAGTCAATATAAACAATAAAACCAGTAAATCCAGTACAAACAGTGACACCAGCATTTTCTCCAATTTCTGAAGTACTCCTGTTTCAACTAACTATTATACAAATTATTATACAAATGATTTTCACTTGTGTGGGAAATCTAACCCCTCTTAGATCTTCACCGCAACTTTCCACACGTTCAAGTTTCTCAGGCGCTTCATGTCTGGTTATGCAGAAGGTTACCGGGTAGGGTTAAAAGATTTCCCGCTGGAGCGTAATTCACGCATCAGTTCCAAACCTTCTGAATTGATCTTATAACCAGCACCTTCAGAGTCCCGATGGTCCACGCTGACCCTGCCTGCTTTTCTTTGTTTTACTGCAGCTGAGGTTCCAGCGCAAAGTGGGCGTGTTATTCTGTCGGGCTGGTCAGTCCACCGAGGAGGACAACAGTGACTCTGGCAGTCCCGCTCTAGATCAGTTCCTGGACCTTCTGGGCCACAGAGGTCCACTGAAAGATACCAGCGGTACCAGCACCATTTCTTTTTCTGAAACAAAACCGGGTCCTTGTTGGTCCTGGTTCTGCAATGATGTCAGAATGGTGTTTGGTAATTGTTGTTACTTTCTGTTTGCTTGTTTTTGTTTCCTGTCAGAAGACTCAACAGGGAGGCAGTCAGTTTTTACAACGTTCAGAGAATTCAAGCTGATGTTCCACGTGTCCACGGCAAGCAGCCCTCAGCAGGTGATTCTCCTGTTCCTAGTTTGACCTTGTGCTGTGTACTGCACAAGTACCACAACTAAAGTTTTCAAGTATCTGTACTTTATGTCAGTATTTGTTTTTCTGACAGCTTTTTACTTTTACTCTCCACATTTCAACACAAATATTTCATCTTCCTACTTTATACATTTTCTAAGCGTGCTCCTTACTTTAGGTTTAACACTGACTCACATCGTAAGTTATTTCCCATCACTGCAACCCTTTAAGCATCAAACCGATCTGAAAGTAAATGTAGGACCGATTACAGGTAAAATACAGTCCTATTGGTTTATCCATCATAAAGACGTATCAGATAAAGATATAATTTATGCATTGCTACTGTTAGTTAAAGGAGGTCATAACGGTGCTTTTTTATGTTCTGGTCACAGTACATCAGCTAACTACTGAAGTACTACAAAGGAAACAAATGAGAGATAAGATCATTTTGTTTAGAGATGGAGAAAGATGTAAGACATTGTGGGTGGCCCACTTCAGCTCAGGTCCTCTACCAAAGGCCTGGGAGCCTGAGGTTCCTGCACAGTATCTTTGCTGTTCCTAGTTCCACCCTCTTCTAGACAGAGATGTTGAATGTCACCCCACATTTTGCTGGAGCCACTAGGCCAGTTCAGAAGTTATGTATTATTATTACCATGGGAACCACTGTTACCTTCACTCTCCGCATCTTCTCGGGCTCCTCTCTCAGCCCTTGGTACTTCTGCTTATCATGTTACTTTTTCTTGATGTTGCTATCACTAGGTTCAGCTACATCACTATGGCCATCTTCCTCTGCTTGCCCACTAACGGTGGTACATACCGTGCAGGGGCCTGTCCTTCTATGATGGTTCCTCTCCTTGCTTCTTGTCTTACTCAGGTTTCTGCTGCCTGAGGTATTCACTAAGCACATAATGAGTTGTGGCCAACTTTTTGATGTACTCATGGATGTTCGTTGTCTCATCCTGGACAGTGGTTCTGAAACTCACTAGTCTTCGGCCTCCTCCGTTCTGCTTAGTGTACAGCCTTGGGGTGCTGGATTTGGGGTAATACTCTGCATGCATTGTCAGGAGCTTTCTTGTCTTGATGCAAGTGGCTTCTGTCTCCTCCTTTGGCCAGCTTATTATCCCAACAGGGTACTTGATCATCGGCAGGGTGTAGGTGCTGATTGCCCGGATCTTATTCCTCCCATTCAGCTGACTCCTCTGGACTTGCCTTACTTTCTGCAGGTACTTGATGGTTGGGACTTCCCTAGCAGCTTCTTCATGATTCCCATTTGCCTGTAGGATTCCTGGGTACTTGTAGCTGTCCTCAATGTCTGCATTGTTGCTTCTGGTAGTGCAGTCCCCTCAATAAAGAATATTCTATTCTATTCTATTCTGTTCTGACTAGCATCCCTCTTTTCGTTACCGTCCGACTACATTTCTCCAGTCTGAATGAAATTCCGATGTTATTGCTGTAGATTCTCGTGGTTTGAATCAGTGAATCGATGTCTTGTTCACTCCTGACATACAGTTTGATCTCATCCAGGTGGCTGACGTTTGCCGCGTTCTGTATTCAGTATCTGTAGCCAGTCTTGACAATGACCTCACTGAGAGGGTCCAGGCTAGGGGTGGTGTGGCGGAGCATTGTCTGTGGCACCGCTGCAGAGTCACACCTGAGCGGCATGAGAAATCAAGCCTTACCGGCTTAAAAGAAGAATGAACTGGGTCCTGTTGTTGTTGTTGTCGTTGGTGTCTGTGGCGACAGCTGAAAAGCTGCAACCGAGTGTTCAAAACAACAGCAGAGATAAAAGAAAAGTGAAAGAATGTGATCTGGTCTGCTGTGCATCCCGAAACCCAGGATCGTAGCATGGCAGAACCATGACCGGGACAGCCAAGGGAGGCGCTGGCCCAAATGGTGGCCAAACTCGCAGCTACAAAGAGGGAGCGGTGTTACCGCCAGCAAGAACAACTGCAGGATCGGTCCAAGCACCGGATGCAGTTGGTAGAGAGTTTGGCAGCTCGGATCGGGTCTTGGCGAAGACCCCGCCGACATCCCTTGACTGCATGGGAGTGACTGATAACCGGACTGCTTTGGCACCCGTACTGGTCCCAGGGAGAGGCCAGCCAGGGCACAGCCTACTTCCGCACGCATACCCACTCCGGGAGGGACCTGCCCAGGGTTAGAGTTGAGGGTCTGCACGGCAGCTGGACCTGCCTGGCTTCCACCAGAGGCCAGCATGCGGTGGGGGCCTGTGCGCCGGCCACCTGTGAGCCTTTGCTCACATCCACAACTGCTGCGCCGCCGCCACTTGCCATGCAGTCGGCCCCTAGTATAATTAACAGATAACTGCTATGATTGAGAGAAAACTAATTTAGAAGATCATCATTTAGCCTGGAGAAATAGTTTGTTGCTCTAAAAAAAAAAACTAAAAACATTTGTACTATGCTATAATATACTAATACTATACTAATGCTATTCATCACTGGTTGAAGAAAATAAGAACAACCCTAGATTTCTCTTCAGCACTGTAGCCAGGCTGAAAAACAGTCAGAGCACTGCTGAGCCAACCATCCCTTTAATGTTAACTAGTAATGACTTCATGAACGTCAGGCATTTGCAGCCGTGGCAGAGTGCTTTGGCCAACCCCTATTAAAAGGGAGTTGCAGTTATCTAAGCGTAAGGTTATAAAAGCATGGATGACAGTTTCCAAGTCACGCCTGGAAAGAAAAGGCTTGACCTTCAATAGACGTCTGAGGTGACAGAATGAGGATTTTACTACGCCATTTATGTGGCCATCAAAACTAAGTGCAGCCCAAGATTAGTAACCGAGCTCTTCAGGTGAGGAGCAAAGTCAACATCTGGTGTACCAGATTGGGACTGAATAAAAGTCCCTATGTTTTACATTCATTAAAATTAAAAAACTGCAGGGCCAGCCATGATTTAACTTTGCTAAGACAATCAAGCAGGAGTCCAATCGAGGCGCTATCACAGTGATTGAAAGGTAGGTAAAGCTGGCAATCGTCAGCATATAGATGAAATTAAATTTTGTGTTTTCAATTTCCTAGTGGCTCCCAGTGGCAGGAGATACAATGAAAACAGTAGTGGCCCAAAAATAGATCCTTGCAGTACACCTCATGGCAGAGGGGCCACAGAGGATGAGGCCGAACCCAACTTAACACAAACGTTCTTGTCAGAGAGATATGGTTTTATCCATGAAACTGCCAAGCCAGAAATTCCTACACAATGCTGTAGTCGAGAGATCAGCAGGTCATGATCCGCTGTGTCAAATGCAGCAGTCAGATTCAACAAAACAACCAATACATTTTTACCACAGTCCGTCACTAACAAAATGTTATTCATAACCTTTATGAGAGGTGTCTCCATGCTGTGAAACAGCTTAGAGTTGGACTGAAGAGCTTCTGGAATTTGAAAATCACTTAGATGGTTCCTCAGCTGAGTGTGAACAATCTTTTCCAGGATCTTATTCAGAAAAGGAAGCTTCCAGATGGGTCCGAAGTTTGCCGTAATTGAAATGTCTGAGCCCAGTTTCTTAAGTAAAGGATGGATAACTGCATGCTTAAACTCACTTGGTACTTGACGTGACAAGAGACTGGTATTAAGTTCGGCACAACAGCGTCGGCCAGGTGCAAGCCGTCTAACAGCAGGATGATTTTATTTTATTTTATTTAGAAAGAGGGACAATACATATTAATGAACATTTTAACAAATGTGCCAGATTATAGCCTTCAATTCAATTCAATTTTATTTATATAAAATCACAACAGAAGTCGCCTCAAGGCGCTTCATAGATACAGAGAAAAACCCAACAATTATATGACCCCCTATGAGCAAGCACTTTGGCGACAGTGGGAAGGAAAAACTCCCTTTTAACAGGAAGAAACCTCCGGCAGAACCAGGCTCAGGGAGGGGCGGGGCCATCTGCTGCGACCGGTTGGGGTGAGAGAAGGAAAACAGGATAAAGACATGCTGTGGAAGAGAGACAGAGGTTAATAACAGATATGATTCAATGCAGCCTTGGGCTAATTTCCATCTGCAGACCCTCTGGCAGGTTGGTTTTAAAAGAGGAACAATGTCAAATAAAATGGGCATATGGTCAGGGAATGTACGAATACATATGATGATGCCAAGTTCAACGTGTGAACACGTTCTTGAGTGGCACCCTTAACAGATTGAACAAAATTAAAAGGGTTCACAAAGTCCTTAGCCAGCGGCTTCCCTGGGCAACAGACATGAATATTAAAATCACCAAGCTGCAGTGGTTTGTATCATATCTATCTAATAGACTCCATATTGTTCACGGGGCGATCGTGGCTCAAGAGTTGGCAGTTCGTCAGTTCGCCAGGTTGCTGGTTCGGACCCCAACTCCGACAGTCTCGGTCGTTGTGTCCTTGGGCGAGACACTTCACCTACTGGTGATGGTCAGAGGGCCCGGTGATGCCAGTGTCCGGCAGCCTCGCCTCTGTCAGTGCGCTCCAGGGTGGCTGTGGCAACAATGTAGCTGCCATCACCAGTGTGTGAATGTGTGTGAGTGTGTGGATGACTGAAGGTAGTGTAAAGTGCTTTGGGGTCCTTACGGACTAGTAAAAGCGCTATACAAATACAGGCCATTTACCATTTGCCATGTAAATGGAGAGTCCTCTTCACACACTGAGGTTAATTATGGAGTTCCACAGGGTTCAGTGCTAGGACCAATTCTGTTTAGATTATACATGCTTCCCTTAGGCAGCATCATTAGAAGACATAGCATACATTTACACTGCTATGCAGATGACACCCAGCTCTATCTGTCCATGAAGCCAGATAACACACACCAATTAGTTAAACTGCAGGAATGTCTTAAAGACATAAAGACCTGGATGGCCGCTAACTTTCTGCTCCTTCATTCAGATCAAACTGAGGTTATTGTACTCGGCCCTGAAAATCGGATTGGATGGGATGAGATCTGAAACATCTTCACAAACTCAAAGAAGTCCAATTGGCTTTTTTCAAGCTCTTAAGATAAAATCGCTGTAAATCGTGTGTGTGTGTGTGTTTCAGCTGCTCCATAAAAGTCTTACTGGGAATGACTTCGTCACAGTAATCTTCCAGGAGCCGAACTCCCCGCCCTTCAGTCCGCAGATCATCTGCTCACATTCCCAACATGTCTTCATCATCGTTCGAGTCCACCGTCCCTGCAGCCAGCACACCTGTTACAGGTAGGATTGTAACTAGAGCAGGTGAGATTATAACATGAGCAGGTAGAACAGTTGAGACCTGTTGATGTGTCATTTGTGTCCTGTTAGTATTGCAGTGTCCAGGCGTAGAGACATCCCGTTCTTTGGTCCCTTGATCCCACCAGGTTGGATGTTTTCAGCCTCACCTGAATTCAGAAATTTCCTGCTGACGAAGATCATTAATGCCGAAAACGCTGCGCACAGGTCAGAGACCTTTGTCACAATAAGAGCACGACGCAGACAGGAGCACCTGAAGGAGCTGGTGGAAAACTTTTCCACATCAGTGCTAGTGGACTCATCATCTTCCATCAAGTTCAGCTTCATCTCTCTGGTAGTAAAGAAAAAAGAGCGCAGCGCACCACAGCCTCATGCTTACCTGAACACTGCTGGGGCTCTCACCTGGAGTGTGACAGCAAAAGACTTCAGCTGCTCTTTTGATGTACCATGCCAGCTCGCCATCTCCAGTGAGTTTGTGGTGCTTGTAGAGGAAGCCAGCAGACAGGTAGTGTTTCACTGTTACTGCAGAGGCGTGATTGGCTGGAACGCCGGCCACAAAGGCATTAAACTTTTCTACGAACATGGAGACTGTGTGATGCTGTTGACACGAGAGAGAGGCTGGGAGGACAGCCGCGAGATTGCCCAGAGACTGCAGGTGACCAGAATCCTTTGTGAACCTGAATCTGAGCATGTGTCATACACAAGAATGATCTGATGTCATCTGTTTTCTGACCTCAGCTGGTGACTCATGGCGGTCCTGCTGTGGACATGATTCTGAGGAGGAACCGCCACGGTCAGCTTGGGTTTCACATGAACTTTGAAGGAGTGGTGGCGGATGTTGAGACCAACAGTTTTGCGTGGAAGGAGGGTCTCCGGCCCGGCTGTAGGATAATGGAGATCTGCGCGGTCGCCATAGTAAAGCTATCACATAAGCAGATGATTGAGCTGCTGAGGACATCGATGACCGTGAGCGTGGTCGTTATTCTGCCGCACGGAGATGGGACACCTCGCAGGTCACATGATGGTTTATTTGAACTTTATTTTAATGATTAGAAGAAAATATAAATATATGAAACGCAAATGCCGACTAGAAAATGTTTGAGAGATTTTTAGTGTTTCAATCTGTTTATAGTTCTGTTTCGCTTATGTGGTAAAAGTCAACTGGTAGGCTGCTGCTCACTGTGGCTGATAACATCGGTAAAAATAGGCTTGTTTAATCTTCATATCTCAGGATGTCAGGACTTCCTGTGCCATCATTAAATGTTTCCTGAGTTCTCTGCCACAGATGGAGGATGGATTATGAGCTGTAATCCTCTCACTGTGTGAGTTTGACTGCACACCTGTAAGTCAGATTTCAGGGTCAAACATAATCCGAGTGCCAGGGCCACGCCATCACGTGTCCAGAATCCCAGGAGATCTGAGCTTGAATCAGGTTTGCATGATCCTTTGGGCTCTGACTGACACCTAGCAGTGCATAAAGAGGCTTTGACCGTTGTGAGGACAAGCTCACGTCACGCTGACCACATCGTGACATCCCTGCAGCACGTTTGATGTGGCTTCAGACCAGAAATCAGTTAATCAGCTGTGCGTGGGAAAAAAAAAGATCCACCAGATGAATAATTTATTTTCTCTGAAAAACCGAACAGGCAATATATATATATTATATATTATTATATATTATATATAAGGCTAAATAAAAGAACTCAGCCGGCCTCCTTCAGTGCATTTACAGTTAGTAAACTCGCTCAGGGATACAAAATGGCCTGAATTAGTAATAAGCTGCAGCTTTGAGGTCATTTCCTCAGAGTGAAGATTATCAGAGCAGAAAACCTGAGGATAACGCGTGGAGTACGCTGTTAACGGGAACACATGAACCCGCCTCATAAATGCTCCTTACAGTTTGACTATAATAAGTAAAAATAAGGAGCAGATAAACTACACCAACCAATCAGCAGCCAGTAAATCTGAGGATAGCAGAGGGAAAGCCTGTGGAGGCATTTTTGTTGAGTTTTACATCAGCAGTGATTGGTTTAAAGTGACGGAGCACGAGGAGTGACATCAGTCGGTACAGACTTGGACTTTGTCTGTAAACGATCACTCACACACTCACTCACTCACTCTCCTCTCTTTGTTCTTCGGTCTTCAGGAGTTTCTCAGAAATCTACCAAGTCCCGAGGTTTGAGTACAAACTGGACTCTGACATCACTTCCTACCCATTAAGAGTAACCCCACCCACCTGGCACAAGGTGTTAGAAGCTCCGCCTACTCAGAGCATCCCAGGTGAACTGGAACAGCAACTGAGACCAATTAAACAAATGAATGAGGGATCCAGGTAACACACCTGTACCTGTCTGTGGGGGTCAGTTTGTGTAACAATAACAGTCAGAGTTGCCGAAGTCCAGCAAAACTTCCTTCCTTCCTTCCATCAGGAGCATTTTTCTCCACGTCTGAAGTTTATTTAGAATATTATTGAATCTGTTCTCGTCTTCGCAGTTCCTCGTGTCGAGTTTTGTTTGTGTTGTTACATCATAGAGGATTATTGGCCTGATATTCTTTCACTTGTTTCTGTGTTGAAGCAGTCATGTAAGGTTTTTAGGGCTGATGTGATGATTATTGATTGATATCAGTTAGAATCATTAATCCAGACCGTTTCTTTACCCAGAATCCCTCAGCACTCTGTCCTTCTGCAGGTTACCAAGCAAACACTCGACTTCCGTTGACCCCGGACCACCTTTGACCCCACAGAGCCATGCCCGATGGGGGTAATTATTGATCCATTAGCGATCTACGTTTTCTTTTAAACAAAGTAATCGGATTATCTGTTGATGTCAATCCTGCTTTCAGAGCTCGTCTTGAATGGGCAGTCAGCTCTGAAGAAGACTCACTTGAGAAGATCGGAAGATCTAAAGGTGGGTTTACCTGGATGTGACCTGGTTTGGCTCTGCAGCTCTGAGCTTTGACATTTAACCCTTTGAACTTTAACAACAACCTGGAACATCTTCATCTTCTCCTCCAGAGGCCAGTCACCTTTGTCATCATGATCATCCTCATCGTGTGACGAAGGCTCGGGGGGGGTTTCAGCCCAGTCTGATGGATGCCAACAACACGCTTTCCAGCAGCAACGGCAGCGAGAGCAGATACTCCGACTGTCATCTCACTCACACTAAGGTGCCTTCAATGGACAGCGGAATTGACTCCGCCCCCTGCACATCATCAGCCCAACCAGCTGTGGCTGGGGCGACGCTGGTCCTGAGCGATATCCAGAGAGGCAAATGGACAATCTCGGCCGGTCACATGACCAACCTGAGTGAGACCTGCTCTCTGTCCTGGTGAGCTGCAAGTAAACAAATGATGTCATCTCTAACTGTGATTTTTACATAATTGTGTATTTATTTTCCCATTGAGCTCCACAGCCTGAGGGCAGTCAGCCAGTTGGAGTGTTCGGATTTAACATTTGAGTAAATGTTCAGCCCATTATTTCTGGGCGTAGCAGAGTGCCAAGGTTAGTGTTGTCCAATGTTGTCCTCAACACCTTTATCTTGACCAAACTTGGATTTATCCTTCTTATTCAGTAATACATTTCCATGTAGTCAAATTTCACATTGGATCAATCAGCTGGGCAAACAAAACAGCTGCATCAGAGATTCTGTTGGGAGTCGATGGGATCCAAAATAACTAGAGTACTGCAAGACTATGGGCTCAAAATGTGGTCATAAATATTTTGTACTTGTAAATCAGTTTTGTATGTGTAAAAAGAATTTGTGTGTGAAAAACCCCTGCAAGTTACAAGTACGAATTTTGACCCGATCTTCCTTTCATCTGATTGGTCAATGTCATGTCAATTACAAATGTAACAATCCAATCAGAGAACAGATGAGTTTGGCTGTCGGAGGGGTGCTTTTTTGAACTGCAGGTCTTTAATACTGAATGTAAACAGCTTATGAGGCTCAGAGACCAGTTACTTCAAAAATCGTTACAATCTGGATTAAATACTGATCGATTACATTTTATATCGGCAAGGAATAAAGTCACGCAAACTTTGAGAATGGCAAAAGCAAATTTTTTCATGACTAATTAATAGTGCCAAAGGAAACTGTAACCTAATTTGGGAAAATATTAACAAACTCCTTGGTAACAGTAAGCATAATGCTGATACAGACCTTGAACTTAAATTTGCCAATGAACTGGTATCAGAGCCTCTCAGCCTAGCTACTAATTTAAATGATTTTTTCCAAAGTACTATTAATGAAATTGCACAATTGTTTTCTAATTCTTGTGACCCTCAACAAAATATTGGGAATGCCGACACCAAAGAGGATGTTTCTTCTCCAGATTCAAAGTTCAATATTCAGAAAATTACAGAAAATGAAGTAGAAAATATAATCTCTAAATTAAGAAGTTCTAAAGCAAGGGATGAGTGTGGGTTTCATACCAATTTCTTGAAGCATTATAAATCTTGTTTTTTGGTGCCTGTGACCCATCTTATTAATTTATCAATCACGCAGGCAGTTGTTCCTCTGAGTTGGAAGGTGGCAAAACTTACACCAATTTATAAACCGGGTGATAAAACAGACCCTGCTAATTATCGACCTATTAGCATACTCCCTATCTTTTCAAAGATAGCAGAAAAGTGGGTTGCTAATTCTATCATCGAACATCTTAATGACTCCAATCCGGGTTTGCACCCTATGCAATTCGGATTTCGCACTCTTCATTCAACTGAAAACGGTTGTCTGTGTTTTTGTTGAGAGAGTGAAATCTTACTTAGACAAGAGCAGTTATGTTGCGGCTGTTTTTCTTGATTTCAAGCGTGCGTTTGACACTGTGAATCATCTTAAGCTCTTGTCTAGACTGTCGACATTTAACTTTAGTAATCACACTGTTAAATGGATACAGTCTTATCGATCAGATAGAAAACAATGCGTGCAAATAAAGAATAGCAACTCATCCTGTCTTTACTGTACGCAAGCTGTCCCCCAGGGTTCAATTCTAGGCCCCCTGTTATTTTCACTTTATGTAAATGACTTGCCTAATGTGTGCAAAAATGTGGACACGATTATGTACGCGGATGATACGGTAATTTTTACGCAAGCCAAAACTGCTGATGATGTAGCCCATCAGCTTTCACTGGCATTACATGATTTACAAAAATGGCTGAATGACTCATGCTTGTGCCTTAATTTTAAAAAAGACCGTATCAATGTTTTTTAGTAAACCTAAAACAACCGTGGCTGGATTAAAAGTTTTCTTGGGTGCACAAGAATTAATTAATGTTGAGGAATTTAAGTATTTGGGAGTGCTACTAGACTCTAAATTATCCTTTAAAAAACACATTAAAAAAGTAGTGAAAACTGTAAATGTTAATATACAGAACTTTAGACATATCCGCACATCATTAACAGACAGCAGCGATTACATTCCCTCTATGATACTGGCTCATATTGAATACTGTATTACAAGTTGGTCCTATACGAGCTCTGCTGCTATTGGGCCAATTGAAGTATGCTACAAAAGAGCATTGAAAATATTAGATGAAAAACCTTTTTCATATCACCATTGTCAAATTTTAGAAAAATACACGTTTTTAAATTTTACTAATTTCAAATTATTTAAATCTGCCTGTCTAATATACAAAGTTATACATGGTCTGGCGCCTCCACCAATCAGTGATTTTATTAAACAAAAGTCTAGCAGTGTTGCCGGGTCTCGACTGACTCGAGCCACTGTTAGAGGTGATTGTGAACTGGCACTCAGACGGACCACCTTTTCACAGATGCTCTGTCATATCAGGGAGTGAGCTTCTGGAATAGTCTTCCACTGTCAGTGAGGGAAGTACAAGTCTACCCATCTTTAAGAGTCACTTAAAAGGGCGGCTGAGGGACATACAAACATGTGATCATGTTTAATAATCATGTTTTATATTGGACGGGAAAAAGAGTTAGTGTATTACAAAAAGGGAAACAACTGTTAGTGCAATGGGTGAACGCAATATCATGATGGTCAGGGCATGTACAATACTGGGGTTTGTGCAATATAATTGATGTGTTTCCGTTATTGTTATCTATACTGTCCTCTGTGTCCACTCTCCTTGTCATTGTTTGTTTTAGTATAATGTGATCACTGTTTTTGTCCTTGTCACATGACCTGTAAATAGTGTCTCTGTATGTTTTTACTAACTTGTGTTTAACACCAACCTGCCAGAG